ATCATTCTATTGAAAAGATGTCTGATAACAAAAGCTCCAAAAGCAGTATGTTTCTGTTCTCTTAATAACATGATTATAGCAAGATCAAGGTAAGACCAAGATGAGACCAAGGCTCATGTGATAAAGTTCTCTGAGCTTCTGTTGGGGAGAGGGCAATGGAATGGAGTATTCTGAAAGTGAGCATGGCTGGCAGGCAACATTTTGTTCCAGGTCCCACTAATCATCCCTGTGCTTGCTGTGGTTATGGTCATCATCATCATCATCATCATCATCATCATCATCATCATCATATGCAAATTTCCTTACCCAGAGGCATGCAGTACAATAACGTTTAAAAAACTGTGTTCAGCAAAATCCCCAAATGGCAGGAACAGCAGTTTTGGCATTTATGTAGCACTTCAGAGCACCCAAAGCACTTCAGATACGTTCTTTGCAGACATCTTTTCAACAACACAGTATGTCTGTATAGCAGATGGGGTGAGGGCCAAGGCTGATGGATAAGCATTTTTCTAGGGCCATTTAGTGCATTCATGGCAAAAGCCAGAGTAAGATAACGAGACTTTCCAGTCACAAGTTAATTTTAGACATTACTGTATTGTCATGTAGTTCCTACTTATAAACCAGAAGCCCTTTGGTCTCTTAATTAGGCATAACTTACCCTACAGAAGCTGTTGGACATTTTTGTCTAATGTGGAATGACTGCATTCATTTCAAGGTTGAAAAAGGGGAGTGGTGAATCCAGTGCCATTGTGCACATTTGGACATTCAGCTGCACATTAGGTGTCTTGGTTCAGTTGCAAAACACTGTCTTTCAGTACAAGGGTTATGTCACACAATTAATGCATAATTCTACATGTGGTGATTCATGCTACAAACCCACAATGTAGGCTCTTTGCTATAGAATAATTTGTTGTTATTTACATTAAGTCAATTTTGACTTATGGCTATCATATGAATGAGAGACCTCCAAGTGTCTGGTCATCAACAGCCCTGCTCAGGTCCTTCAAGCTGAAGACCATCCATGGCTTCTTTGATTGAGTAGAATAAAAGAACCATGATGTAATGTCCTGCCTCTATCTAACTCAATGAACACACTTCATGGATGAAACCAGAAAGAGTTTACTGAAGAAGATAAGCACAGTAACATATCCTTCGCCAGATCGGAGGTTACAGCATAAAGTTCACTATTAAAAACTCTCTGCAAGAACTTCCCCTCCCAATGGCTTGCATTCTTTCCCACACAGCACCAGGCAACTAAGTGACTTTAGATCCCAGGAATATAGCCCAGCAACTGCTCACCCCCTCCCAATAGGCCTGTTTTGACATGGTTACAGCACACCTTTAACAAGACTACCTTTAACGTGGCAGAAGGAGCCACAAGGGGTGACTTAGACATGTAGAGTTATAGGTGGTTTTTGATGAAGGAGAGCCAATATGGGATAGCAGAGAGGCTTTTCCTGCCAAATTGGGGATAGTTGGAAGATATGCAATTAGATCTGGTCCAACCTATTTCCCAAAGTAGGTTTGGTTTCTGAATGAGAGAGCCCTGGATTCAATTATGATATAATTATATTATATGGTGGACCCTTCCCATTCATGAGGGTTCACAGTTTCAGAATCCATGCAAATGGGAAAAAATGTGGATGGGCACACCCCATATTATTCAACAGGCAGTGTTGTGTGTGCATCTATGTCAGCATGTCCACATGCACACATCACCATTAAATAGTATGGGCCAAGGCAAACCACAAACACTCCTATCTGCAGATCACTAGGCTACTGATGTGGTGGGCTTACTGTAGTATGTTATAAAATAGGATTTACTTATTGTTGGTTGGGTTGATGTTGAAGATTTTCACTTATTTTGAGTGTGACAATGACAGTCCTTAACATTTGTTTCACACCAAACTCTATGCAAAAGGGACCCAAAGATTTTTTTGGAAAAAAAATTATGGAAGTTTTCTGATTGGTCCCAAACTAGCAATAAAATATTTAGGATATCATTTAAAAATGTAAATAAAAAGTTTGGGCAGAACTGGTTTAATAAATTCACAGACTACAGCAAATAAATAAATAAACACTTTTTGTTTTGTTTTTATAGAAATCCAAAGTGTTTGGGAGTAGTTGATGATCAGATCTGAAATTAGTCTTCACTGCAATGGCCTTCAGCATCTTCAAATTCCATAGTTCAACTGTGGACTTTATCACATGGAGTCAGATTGCTTAAATCCTGTGCAGAAACGGGATTTAAAAATCCGACCCCCCCCCACAAAAGCAGGTTGTTTTTCAGACGTATTGGTGTATAGGAAAAATAATGCAACATTAACCCAAACAGAAAGTTGCCAAAATCCACTCGTTTTTATTTTCAGAAGTTCCCAAAAGTAAAAAGGAGTGGGTTTTGTCGGCTTTCCGTTCAGGTTATTTTCGTATTATTTCTCTTTCACACAAATGTCGCCTGAAAAACAACCCACAATTGGTTTTGTCTACTTTCTGTCCAGGTTAACTCCGAATGTTGTGTGAAAAACAACCTGTAAAAGTGGTTGGTTTTCACTTTAAATCTAGATTTGTCCCGTGTGATAAACTCCTATGGCTGCATATACACTACAGAAATAATGCAATTTGATACCAAATTTACTGCCATGGCTCAGCGCTATGGAATCCTGGGATTTGTAAACTTGTGAGATATTTAGCCTTCTCTGTCAGAGGGCTCTGGTGCCACAAATGCCAGCACTGACTCATGAGAGTTAAAGCAGTGTCAAACTGCATTATTTCTGCAGTGCAGATGGAGCCATAATGTAATCTGATGCATTTGTTTGCCCTAAATTTCTCTCATTAGCTTCCTTGGAGGATTCTGGATTCTAGTATTATCAGAAAGAAACAAAACTTGTCACTATTCACTTTCTTTGTGCCATGCATAATGTTATAATACTGCATCATACTCTCCCATCATCTCTTTTTAAAACTAAAAAAAGAAGCATCCAGTTATATACCATCAGTTTCCTCAAGGGGTATTGTTTCAGACCCCTGCATATTGGCTGCCATATTTGTCTCTTTTCCAGTGTAAGGTAGTACGTTTCAAATTGTCCCAAGATCTTTTTTCTCACTGGATTCAGATCCTATCAGTGTATAGGTGGTTAGGATATCTGGTCCAGTTTGCACCATCAATTATACATAACTAGTTCAGAAAACAATTGGTTAGCCATAACCACTAGTGTAATAGAACCAGGGTTCATAAACCTAATGCTTCTGTCTTGATTGGAGGAGACTTGGACATTATTTATGATAACGCATACCCCACAACTGTCTCAGTTTGGCAGAGACTGAATCCTCTGTCATCAAATATTTCCAGCTGCTTTTTAAATGTCCCAGTTTATCTCTCCTTCTCTCACTTTCCTTCTTTGTCCTCAGCTTGCTTCAGTGGCTGCAAACTGAACTAATAGTAGTTTGCTTTTAATTAACTCAGCATGGGGAGAGGAGAGGGCAGAATCTTGTCCTTCCCAGTAGGCTCAAGCAAAATCAAACTGCTGCAGCCTCTTCCACCTTTTCCGTTCTTCCTCATTAATATTTTTTGCCATCTTGATCACATGCTGATGTTGCTTGGTAACATGTATCCTGGTTTTCATCTGTGAAATGTTGGAGGATATGCTATAGAGACTGGCATGATGAGGACTCACATTTCAGAATTTATCCTTACACCACTGACTGTAACATCATACCAGGTCATTGATTTAACTTTTTGTGATCAGTAGCCTGCAGGTTATTTATTTGAAATTGGAAAATATCCAATAGATCTTACCTTATACTTCTAGAACCATTCTAGAAACATCTCTGGGCATTATAACAAGCAAATACGAGTAGCAAATGGGTCATTTATTTCTGAGCTTATGACAAGCCCTTTAATTTATTCCTATATGAACAACATCATGAAGATTTTTTCCTTACTGACCTAGAGTAAAATCTAAACATTTTTTAACTTGGTGAATGAGGCTTTGAATATAATTAATGTGCATATTTACATTTCCAAACTGATGTTTGTTTATTTATTTTTTTTGCCAATATGTGAATGGTTATGTCTTGGCTCTCCAATCCAAACATTTATGTTAATGGCTAAACCATTAACTTGATAGTTTTCTCCATTGCTGTACCTAACTTCATATACTAAATTAACTGTTGCTATGATTTCAGGCCTTTTTGATGTGTCAACCTAACGTTCTACTTAGAATTCTAATTTTGGAAGGATGTGGTTTGTATCTGTTTGTATTTGGTAGAAAATTACTTTGTGCATTAAATTCTAGAAATTCAAATATCCACTTTAAATGGGATTCCTCTAAATAGAATGTCCAGTCTAGTTTGTGAAATCCTTCTGCTTATCTGTTAGTTTATTTTAGTCCACCTTGGTGAAAGAAATTTTGGTAAAAATATGAGGCATTTCATATCTGAGCCTTTCCTTAGAAGTACCAAGAAAGAGTTCTCTCTTCCCAGTCTTCCCAAAAAAGCTTGGAAAAGTAGCTTTTTGGATTACAACTTCCCAGTTTCCTCAGCTACAATGTCCATTTCAACAGGAGACTCTTCTACTTCATGGGTTTTCTATAGAATTAGCACATTTATTGGCTATGTTGGCTGAGAGATTTTGGGAAGTGGTAGTCCAAAAAGTTTCTTTCCCAAGCTTAACTTCCTGCCAGCTCAGCTCCTCACTTTTCCCCATTACCAAGACAAACAAGAATAAAAGGAAGGGTTTCAGCAGCATCTTCATCTTTTATGATCTGGATGCTCCTAGATTTCCCCCCCAGTTTCCTTAGAAGTGTCCATTGGTGACACAGAGCTTAGAAAATGGTGTTTGGGTGTTTGCAATACCTCTCTGCTTAATGGATTGATACTTATATTTTGTTGTTGTTGTGTGTGTTGTTTCTGACTTATGGTGACTTTCAGGTGACACTTTCATTGTGTTTTCTGAGGGCTGAGAGTGTGTGACTTGTCCAAGGCCACCCAGTGGGCATTCATGGCTGAGCGGAGATTCGAACCCTGGTCTCTAGAGTCGTAGTCCACCACTCAAACCGTTATGCCACACTGGCTCTCTATTTGTAAGTTTAGTGACCTCCTAAACATGTAACATGTGACAATGGTCTCTTTCCCATTACATAGTTATAGTGATATGATTCCACTTTAATTGCCATAGCTGCATCCTATAGAATCCTGGAATCAGTAGTTTGGAAAAGGGCTATAGTTCCCTGTCAGCGAAGTCTAAATAATTTCACAAAACTGCATGTCTCATAGGATGGAGGCATGACATTTAAAGTGGTATCAAAGTGTGATAATTGCGTAGTATGAAAGATACCTATGATAAACATATCTTTTGGAGGGGAAGCACATGCCATCTAGGTTTGTTTGCATTTGCAGGTGAACATGCTTTTGCTAACCTGTAGTGAGTTAAGAAATACTCTCAGTATGGCTAGGAAAGATCCTCTCCATTTAGACCATCCATTTTAATTATTAAAGGTTTGTTTCTTTTGTTACTCCCTCTCTGTAATTGCATTTGTATCATTACTGATTTGGAATCTATTCATTTCTATATCCAGTGAATGTGCCAACTGAATGGAAAAGCCATAAATAATAGACAGAAGAAGACTAGCTGGGTCTTCTGTTAAAATCAATTGAAAATGAAAGGGACACAGCCAGTTTTCTGCTGTCCGTAACTTCTGGCATTTCCATCCAATTGGTACAACATTTCTAGGGAGTCTACTATCTTTTACGATTTGCCTAATTTCATGATTTGCCTAATTTGCCTAATTTGAGACAGTTTGGGAAAACGGTGTCCATTTTACAGGCATTTAAATGTGCACATATAATCCAAAATGTCATAGCCATTTCCAGAGCTCTGGAAAGTATTTGTGGGGATGAGGAATTACTATTCCCAGAATTTTCCAACTAGCGTTACCAGTTGTAAAGCAAAAATATTATTTTTCCAAGAACTCCTGATAACCTTTCTATGACCTGTACATGTTGTACCAGCAGTTTCTTTTTTAAAAAAGAATCCTAAAAAATCTAACATTTTTTAAAACAACAGATGACAAAAACTGGCAACAAATGGCATTTTCATTCTGACTAACTTCACTAGTTCAAATTCCTTTTTTGTTAGTATAACTGATATGAATGAAATGAAAGGTGCTTTAGTTTTGTTTTAAACTGATTTTTAAAGACACTGCATCACCTATAACCCTAAAAGGAACAGATGATGATGATAATATTTATTATATCTTACCTTTTCCCCAGTTCTGGACTCAAGACAGCTTACAACAGTTGAAAATTTACTGCACACAAAAGACAAAAAGTAAATAAACTTCCAAAAATTAAAACCCTTTAAAACATAAAACATTAAAACAACAACAAGAAATAAAAGTCCAGTGCATTATGCAAGGACCATTTCTCCTTAAAAAAAAAAAAAATTTCAAAGGACTGCCAAAATAGTAAGTCTTCCCCTGTCTAAGGAAAGATAGTAAGGAGGATGACTGGCAGGTCTTTCCGGGGAGGGAGTTCCAGAGCCTGCGAGCAGCCACCAAGTTCTTCCACATTCCCACCAAGTGTAGCTGTGAGGATAGAGGGAAAGAAAGCAGTGGCTACCTTGAAGATCTCAAAACCCAAGCAAGTTCAGAACCTACAGTCCTTCAATAAATAGGACCTTATAAACACTTTTTCATTGATGCCTCTGTTTGGTATCCCATCTGAAATAGGTTTTAAAGCCTGATCTAGGTATGACACATGGGAAAGGTCTAGTCAGACCCACAATTTTCAATTTTTATGGAAATGTAGTCTTAAGAGGCTGTGAGCATCATGCAATTTGAATTGGGTTTTGCCACCAAAAGAAGTTGGACTTTTCTTAAGAGAGAAGTTAATCTGATACATCAACCCAATCTGTAATAAACATGGGTGCTGTTTGTGTGCCTCTCACCTCTAAAGCAGATTTGGGGAACTACTTTTGCAGGCAAGGGAGATGGACACTAACCAGCTCTTAATGGTTTTGATGAAGTCAGAGGCATCAGAGTGACTGATGTCATCAAATCCCCATTGAGTTGAAGCACAGAATAGAGCTTATTTACCTGGCACTTCAGTTGGCAAGTCCTCCCTTAGAGACACATTAGGATGGGAAGAGGGAGTGAAACAATCCCAGCCGTCAATGGCAGCTTGCATGTCAGTCAGGAAGTCAATCCATCCAATCCACTTCATACTTGGAAGAAGCTGTCCAAAGTGCTGAATCCAATTACTCAGATTTAGGGTGAATATCTTGGATATCTCCCTCAAAATTCAGTCAAAAAAAAAAAAAAACTGGAATGGATTCAGTACTCCACTGACAAGGAAGCCACTAGCCACTGCTGCCATCTCATGCTTTCAAATGGTGGCTAACATAGAGAGTGGCTAACTGCTTTCCTCCTCCCTCCTCCCTGTATGTCAAAGAAAAAGAGGGAGGAAAGCCAGTGGCAAAATCATTACTATGAAGGGATAGTAGGGATTTTTTTTTTTTTTTAGTATGCATTTGGGCACAAAATGTATAGCTGGAAAAACACATTAGACCCAGAATTCACTAAGACAATTATGAATGCATAACCTAGAACTACATATTTCTGACTGGTCCATATTCATGATCCCTACATATTCCCTAGTTCACACTAGGTTGTCACACTAGTTTAGGGAATACACAGGGACTGTAAAAGCTCCCCTGTCCCCACTTAACAGACAGCAGCTGCTGAAATTAATGGAGGTCTGTTCCCCTGCTGATCAGGAATCAGTTGACTGATGTTTCCATTGCTTCCTTGTGCAGGCAGTCATAGGTGTGAGAGAGAATTGCGATAGGGACCCTGATTCTGCTTGTCGCCTTGAGGATCACTCATGAGAGGAGGTAGAAAAAGAAGTCTGCTGCTTCCTGATTGACACAGGAACAGACAAGGAAGCTACTACAGAGTAAGGGGTAGGCAACCTTTCCCCTTTAAGGGCCGAGCGACTTCAGCTCCCAGAAGCCTCAGCCATGTCTCCTGTTGGCCAATAGCTCCTGGGATTCTGGGAGCTGAAGTCCCTCGGCCCTTAAAGGGGAAAGGTTGCCTACCCCTGCCTTAGAGAATTCTGGCCTAAATGCTCGCACTATATATTCTGGCTGGCATTCTGTTGGAGACATATGGTGGAGTAACCTCCTGTTATGCCAATGTATGTACTTTTAAGGTTGTTGTGGAAGGAGATTCTCAATACCTTCTTGTGCGATGTCATCTCCCTGCATGCAACCTCAACTGGTGGTGCTGAGGCACATGTCCACATCTTGGCAGTGTTGAATGGGGATGGGGGAGGAAATTATTGATATTTATTAAGCAGAGTATGCAGTGTGCTCTAGTGCATCATGAACTTCTGGTATTAAACAGGATCCTCTGGTAAGGTTAAAAAAAGCACAAGACTTTACTGTTCTAAAGAAATCCATTTAAAATAGAAAAGTAGATAGTTAAAAGAAAGTTACCTGTACTTGGTACAAGAGTCCCCAGAGCTGTCTCTTATGCATGTATGCATCTGGGGTTGGCATCCTGAGGCAGAGAAGCTTCTCTCGTTGATGCTTGCTTTTCTGAAGAGGGAACAAGAACAAAGAGTTGTAAAACCAAACACTTATTTTAAGTGAGAAAGGAGGTGACCTCTTCAACCAAGGATACTGACCAAGGAGCATTGATAGAGAAACAAGGATGTTAAGAAAGTTCCCTCACTGCCTTTAATTACTAAAGAAACAAACACTGATGCTTTCTTCAATTTCAACAGGGGAATCCTGGGGCACCTGACATTTTGCAGCTGGAAAAATAAGTGCTATTGTATCCCTGGATCTCTAATGAATACACTGTAAGGACAAAGACTCTTCTTTTTTCTTGACAAATGTCTGGAATCCCTACAGCCCAAGTAGGGATTTGCTGTAATTTCTCCATGGAATCCAATGCATCTGACAAAGAGGAGTCAGATCTAGATGGCTCCCCTGACTCCAGGGCTGATGCAACTGATGAGGAACCTCAGCAACCCCAAGTGGCTGGAGTTGGGAGACCCTGAGAAGGCACCCCCATCACTTGTGGAACATCATCATGACAAGCAACAACCAGGGAGGAACTAACATTTCTTAAGTAAGAAATTCTGAGCAACTGCATCCGGTGTCTCAGGGTCAAGGTGACTATAAGTCCCATAGCAGCTGCTGGGAGTTTATGTTGTTCACAACTGACCACTTTTGTATGCTTCCTACTTGTGGATTTCATTGGATTCTTGACTTTTGGACTGACTTTTTATATACATTCTTTGTTTTTCTATGGTGGCATCAGTTTTTGTGTCTGCCAGATTCTGGAGTAGCTGCGACTTCACTGCTACACCTCCCTAAACTCCCTTGACTACTTATGCATGACCTGGACTGGCTTAATTCACCTCTAATTGCTTTTCCTGGCCTTCGCTGTCAGTAGGAACAGGACAAAGTTGACATATGGGGGCAGAGGTCTAATGGAAGTATGGAGATCTTGGGCTCTGTTATCACACTCATTGAACAGTTAATGGAGCACATAGTAAATTCTTTTACTATTTAGCTTTTATTTTATTTTATTTACAATGAGTTGACTCTATTTTCTGGATGATTTCTATTTGTGAAAAAGTTTATATGATCTGGAATGGTATCATCATTTGGATGTATGAATGAAATTACGGGTGGGTTGGAGATGGACTCAATAACCATGAAAAATCCCACTGGCGTTTAAAATATACCATACTGCTGATCTCTCTAGCCTTTTGTATTTTAAGCAACACTTTTAAAATTAAAAATGCCTGCGGCTTGAATAAAATGCAGAGAAAAACTAGTGCTGCTATCAGCTGAAGGAATCACATTAACATGGAAGAGAGTAGATCTGGGCCATCTGTTGCGGAGTGGTTGAATCAGTGTCTGGCTTAGTGGCATATGAAAGAGAGACGTAGAGTTCAGACTGCAGAACAGGGCTGATATTTCAGATGACATCTGGATACTTTTTATCAATGATATAAACAGAAATTCTGGGGGAACAACAAACTATTAGTCATGGGCATTTTAAATATTGACAGACACAAAATTATACTATTAAAGCAGGTGTCAGGCCAAAATGGATGTGCATGTACATAAATGAGGGTTCTGGCAACATGTCAGGGCTAGGAAGAAAACAGAATCATTAAAGATCTCTTGGAAATGCAAGTGCATTGGCTTGTTCACACATTTAGATTCATCACAGCATCATGAAATGATTTGCATGTGTGAATGAAGAAGAGTCCTACAAATTGATGTGAATTTGTTTGGCTTGATTTTTTTTATAAGCTCCCCAACTTTGCAAGTTTTGTCAAAAATGTGATGAAACATACTTAAAATCAAGGGAAAAGGAGATGAAGAAAAAAAAGGAGAAAATAAAACAGCCAGATTTATCCTTTCAGGCAGAGAGCTTTGAGTATTCAACTTTCTAAAAGCTAAGACGTGTGTAGGCCACCATATATGTAGTGCCAAATAACTGTTACAATATGCCAATAGGAATTTCATTGTCCTCTCCATATTGGGAATTGCTGCACCTATTGAATTTTCAGCACAATGAACCTAGCTGTGTGAGATAAATAAGAGGTGTACATTCTCTCAGTGATGTCCTCATGACTCTTGGAATATAAAAATCTCTGTTGCTCCATTGGGGCAAATATGACAGAGGCAGTTCAAGGGTAAAGCACTGAGCACTATGTAGCACCAGTGCATTTACATCAGCCTTTAGATTTAATCTGGAGGGTAGGCAGTATCAACACACGTTCAATAGGTACTGGATGCTACTTCATGAACTTCCATTTTTGTATTTTAGAGGTGTGAGTGTGAAAGATGACACTACAGCTGGCCTAGGGATGTAACTCTTGACTTGGCTAGACCTTGTTTAGTAAAGGCAAAGCTTTAAAAACTTTCTCCTTGATGCAAGGCATAGTAAACTGATGAGTTTTTTTGTTTTGTTGTTTATCCTGGAGAAAAATAGTATACTTCTTGTGTGTGATTTTGTGCTTTTGAGCCAGTGTGGTGTAGTGGTTTGAATGTTAAGATTTCAAATCCCTGCTCAGCATGGAAACCCACTGGATGCTCTTGGGCAAGTCACATGCTTTTAGCTGTAGCAGAAAGTACGGGTAATGGCAAACCTCCTCTGAATAAATTTTGCCAAGAAAACCCCATGCTAAAGTTGCCAGCATGGTGGAGTGGTCTGAGCATTGGACTACAACTCTGGAAACCAGGGTTCAAATCCCTGCTAGGCCATGGAAAGCATTTGGGTATCCTTGGGCAAGTCAGACTCTGAGTCTCAGAGGAAGACAAAGGCAAACCCCCTCTGTACAAATCCTGCAAAGAAAACCCGTGATAGTTTCTCTTTAGGGTTGCAATAAGTTGGAAATGACTTGAAGGTGCACCACCACCACCACAACAAATGTTGCCATAACTTGGAGCTGCCTTAAAGGCACATATCATCATCATCATCATCATGTATTTAGAGTATAATTGTGCTCTTTTGTAAAATGGATCATAATGGAAAGTCCAAAAATTGTTGTCTTGTATGAGCTAGTTAAAAGAAATAGTATTGGATGGGTTGTTTGTCTTTTTGTAATCATTTAGCCTCACTTCTCCTTAACCTGTTCAGAAGGGAAAAAAGATACTAGATTTCCCCCTCAAAGACAGGGCCTGTACACAATTATATATTATTAGTATCTTGGTCTTGTGCTGGAACTGAGGTCTCTTGAGGGGAATGGAGAATCCTTGAAGTGCTCTCTTGCTCTGGCAAAATGCCCAGTCTTGACCAGAACATTGGAGGTGATGAGATTTCTTCATAGCTCTTAGCTGGGCTCACTGTTATGTCTGGTAAATTTAACTCCTAAAGTAACTGTAAAGGGGCAGATAATAAGTTTGTGGCATTCAGTAAAGGAGACATTTACTGGTAGTGAGCCCACAGCATTCAATAACGAAGAAAAGATTCACATTGGTTTTATCCATGCAGTGAGGAAATATTAAGTGCTTGAGCAAAACGTTATTGCGATTTGCATCCTGGAAGTAGCAATGAAGAGCTAGGCATAATAAAAACCCATTCAAATGACTGCCAGAAAGCATCACTGTGGTATGTGTGGTACTTTGATTGCATTAGCAAGAACTAAAAGGACCATGATATATTTTGAAGCTTTTTTTAAAATAATGAGCAAGCACAATAAGTTTAAAAACCCATTTCCACACTAGCATCCTGGAAACCACACTGTTTTCTCTTGTTCCACCTAAGAATTAGTCCGGCTTCCATCATTGTTGTTGTTGTGTGCTTTCAAGACATTTCAGACTTATGGTGAAACTATTACAGAGTATTCTTGGTAAGAAGCCTTTGCCTTTGTCTAAGTACACAATGGATTTCCCTGGCTGGGGATGGATTCACTCCTTGGTCTCCAGAATCATAATCCAATACTCAAAGCACTATGCCATGTTGTCTTACCAGTCTTACCCATTTTTAATGTGTGGCAGACTGCTTGTCCATTGGTTTATTCCACAGGAAATGAGGAGAGGAAAGGAAGAGGCAGAAATATTCCTGATCTTAATATTACATTTGCCTTCACCATTAATATTAAATGTTGTTATATATAGCTTGCTTAGGAGCTTGGCTACTGGTACTGTCGTGGTCACTGGTCAAATCACAATGCAGCATAAGAGAATATTTTAGAGTTTAGAAAACTTTAGAAAACTAGAGGTTTAGAAAGATTACAACTCCCAGAATCCCCCATTCAGAAGGGCCAGTGGCTTTGGTGACCAAGGGATGCTGGGAGTTGTTCTGGCTAGGTTCTCTACTGGGATGGGGGACAACTACTAGAGTTGTTTTAAGTTATGAAAGTGATGTAATATTAGAGCCCAGTGCAGACTCCATTGGAAGGGCACACTCCCCAATCTTACTTGCTTGTTATTCCCTTTCCATTCTCCCAATCCCAGACACCTACACTCATTTAAATTTTCTATAGTCCTACTGTAACTATAGTCCTAAGGCCTAAATAACTTAAAAGGTACCTGATCCTGTCTGATCTTGAAAGCTAAGCAGAGTCAGCCCTGGTTAGTACTTGGATGGGAGACTGACAACAAATACCAGGTGCTGTAAGCTTTTTTTTTCCAGAGGAAGGAACTGGAAAACCCATCTCTGACTATATTTCTGTTTCTCAGCTCTCCTTTGCCAACTTTCTAGTGCAAATGGTGCTAAAAATATTCAGCTAGACAAAGAACAAGGAAGCAAAGAGGGCTGGGCATGTGTAAAAACATTTTGCAAAAAGGAGCTAGTGGAAGTAGATGATTTAGCATTTTGTTTTCAGTATCAATAATGAACCCCGTTTTTAGCATGCCATAATTATTATTATTATTATTATTATTATTATTTACCAGCTTGGTAGACGAAGGGAATGCTGTGGATATAGTATATCT